ATTTATTGACCGATTTCTCACTGATTTATTGATTGATCTCCGTCAGGTGCTTACAACCGTGAAGACAAGCTTGTTGGTGCAATTGGTGTGATACGAAATGTGAAAGATTACTTCGCTGTAAATTGTCTCCACCCTGAAGAGCAGAAACTGATCAGTAACTTTAGAAGGGTTTGTTTTCACATGGTTTTAATAGTTATTGATCGACAATCACCAGAAGATCCTATGCTCAGACCTGTTATATTACGACGTTAATGGTGGCATCAGAGTACAGAAAGATCGGCATTGGTACTCAACTATTACAACGTGCCAGTACAGTCCTATTACAAGAAGGCAGTCAGTTAGTGAGTGGCAATCGATCGATACCGCCAATCGATACCTTCTCTAATCAATGGTTTTTTAGATATATCTACATGTACTACACACAAACCTGCCCGCAATCCGCCTTTATGAGAAAATGGGATATGAAAGAGTTGCAGAAATTCCAAAGTATGTCATGTAGTTGCCCGGAAAGCCTGCTCAAGGCCCTATAAGTTGGATCCAGCGCCAGATGGAAAACAGAATAAGTGCGGAGCTGTGGGTTACCCCTCCCCCCACCCATTCATTCACTAACAGATGTTGCGGGAAACCCCATCAAGCCTACAGCTGGAGTTTGTACGCACTCGTGTACCATTTGGGCCCACAGCTGGAGCAGTGGGTAAGCGCATACCCACCGAACCCGTGAGTGGAGCTGTAGGTAATCGCATAACAATCCAGCTCATAACTGGAGTTGTAAGCAATCGTGTACCAATCGAGTTCATAACTGGACTTGTGAGTGACTGTTTACCCCGCAACTGGAACCGTGAGTAATCCGGCTTCCATCTAGCCCACTGCTAGGGTTGGGAATAAGCGCATACCTATCGAGCTCATAACTGGAGCTGCGAGTAGCCCCTCCCCATCTCACAACTGGTAGAGGCCGATACCATCATCTACAAATGAAACATGTGGGTAACAGCTTTATCGTCGACCGAAATGGAGCGCGTGGGTAATCTGGCTTATCTCATCTAGCATTCCGTAGGCTGTGAGTAACCGGTACCTAGAGCCGACTAATGTAGTGTAGTTATAGGCCTTGTTCACATAGAATAAGTTAATAATGGTCGCACCTGATGTGAGGGTAATCCATACGCCCCAGCTTTCAGCTGAAACTGTGCGCACTCAACGGCCATTAGATTCCACAAACGCGGCGCGAGTAGCCTTATACCCTTCCGTCTACAAAGGACTGCCCAGTTGGGCCCAAAGTGCAGGGTGGGTAACAACATACCGCGTGCCACACTGAAGGCCAATAGGTAGTCTGCTCTATCACCGCAATTGAATCTGTGAGTATCCGACAGGTAATCGCATACAGTCGGTCATACTCTGGATCAGTGTACCCATTACGGCCATTTGAGCCCTACAAATGCAGCTGTATTTTAACGCTATAGCGATCCAAGCTGCGTAGGTTGTGTGGAGAAGCTCGGGTCGAGAGTTTCACAGACCATCTCTAGTCCGAGCCGTTTTGCTTTTACTTTTCCACGAAGATTCACAATGATGGGAGGATCCCAGATCTCTAATCGTCCTAATCTCCCAAAACGTTGCTGCTCATAGTATGCCTATGGATCAAGATAGTAAGAGACGGCAGAATAGTCGCTACTTGCTGGCAAGGATTCCGCGAAATGTACAGTCGTGCACAGTTACACCGTACTACTCACCGCACTAGAGCGGTACTAAGCCCCGCAACATGGGCCTCAGAAGGGGTAGTATTAACAGTCGAATTTTCAGTTACTATACGATCACGGGTATCAGGATGTTGGCGTTATCTATTGTCGTTTGGCTTCCGTCGCAGGATGTCAGCAGATGCTGGGCAACGAGGTGGTTTCGATACGTAGCCAACGCAATGGTTCAGCGGAGACCGAGTAACAAACATTTGGCTTCGAGTGTGTGATTCTTCGTATAAATGTCGCCGTTACTGTGTTGTTCAAAGAGAAAGCGGTTTTTCCAGGGGCGATGTTAGTTAACTCGGAAGCTTCAGACTCCATAACTTTTGTTTCCCTGATTCTCGATTACTAACCGTCGTTTCGTTATAAGATTTCAAGTTCAAATAAGTTCATAGTTTTGCTGAGGACAACTTTTGACATTGTCTGAGGTTTGCTATCGTCACGTCGCGCACCACAACACGAGTAACAACTCGTTTTTCGTGAAAGGCTCGCATCTGGGAACCCGTTGCGGGACGTCCCGATCCCAGACATTCAAAGCGCCTAGAAGCGCATCCCGCGATCATCAAATGGTGTGAAGCCTCCTTCACTCACCAATGCTCAGTTTGTAGGCAAAGAGGATATCCCACCTCCGCGGCCTGAAAATACGCGGTAGGGGTGTCAGGTGATCGCGACGACGGCAGTGCCCCGCACACCGCTCGATGCTTCGCCCATCGCTACTTTTAGAGCTTTGGGTGTACATGTTCCGCCAAAAGTTGTATTTCCGAATGTAGAGAGTAAATGAAGGAAAGACTAGATTCGCTGTGATAATCGTGAGAAGGCTTTCGTTCCAAACGGCAGCCCACTCGTTGCCGTCCTTCGTAGAGTGCGGACCGAACGCGGGACGGCCTATCCTAGGGCGTTTCGGATGTTTTTTTTTCAACTGTATTTCAATGCCTGAGCTACCATCACCTTCCTCTTTATGTGACCACATTCACGATTTTCGATCGGCGGGAGTCGTTGACTGTCTTCATAAACGCGTTGCCATGATCTATTAGGTTGTCCGGAAAGTTCTTAGCGTTTTGGGTGTTTAACTTTAAACGATCATAACTTTCTTAACACTCATCGGATTTAATCCAAATAAGCACCATTCGAATCAGCACACTTTTGCCAATGTGGCAGCAGTCGAGAAATCCCATCAAAGTAAAAACTGGGTGGTCGAAAATCTGCGAAGGTTTTTTTGCCTGGTCCTGTTTGATGAAGTATTTCTCAGCAGGAAAGTTCTGAAAATGTCTGAAAAGGTGACAGTCGGTTGGTGAAAGGTCTAGAGAATATGGTGGGTGAGGTAGAACTTCAACTCCCAATTCGTTCAATTTATGGATAGTGATTTGTGAAACGTGTGGGCGGGCGTTGTCATGCAAAAGAATCGGACCCTTTTTTTGATAAGTGTTGGCTGCAGCTGACAATATTTTCGGTACATTTGGTCGGTTTGTTCACAGTAGGGTTCTGCTGTGATGGTTTGGCCTGGTGATGAAAAAGTTATAGTGGATTACACGGCGATTGACCACCAAACTGACCAGAATTTTTTTTTCGCGAGGGTTCGGCTTTGAAAATTACCTCGGTGGTTCCTCCAAATCCAACCACTGTCCGGAACGTCTCCTGTTATCATACATGATCCATTTTTCATCACAGGTGACAAATCCGTTCAAAAACGGGTCAATTCTTTTGCGCAAAAGCAGTGAAGAAGGAACCTCGAGACGTGCCGATTCCTGCCGGTCACTCCGATTGTGGGGCACCCAATTGTCGAGTTTTTTCACCTTCCCAATGCGTTCCAGACCATCTGCAACAGTGGATTTGCCAACGCCTAGCTCTTCTGCTATCTCTCGAACTGTTTGGGATAGATCAGCCTCCGAAATCCCCTCAAAATCCTCGTCAGAATTGCTTTAGGTCGATCGCTATGAGGTTCACCTTCAAGGCTGAAATTTCCAGAACGACATTTGTTGAGCCATTGCGGCACAGTGCTTTCTCTAGCACTATTGGGCCTCCACACCTGGTTAATTTGTTGAGCTGTTTCGATTGCGGATTGCCCCAATTTATAGTCGAAGAAAAAAATCGTCCGAAGTGCTCTTTTCACATGCTTGAAAAAATCTTGAAAAAGGGGTTTATCAAGCAATGGTGAAACGGCAATTATACCATCAGATAGCGCAAGAAATTCAGGATGTGCTACTGAGAAGCAAGGCAGAATGAGTTTTTAATCAGCAGTGAATGTACAAAGATTAGGTGCACAAAACGCTAAGAACTTTCCGGACAACCTAATACACCGGTACCATTACTTTTCTAAATAGAGAGCACCGGGCGATAGCCGCGGTGCGTTCAAGCCTGATTCAGCCCGTGTTGAGTCTAAGGGGAGCTCCTAGCGTAACCTTTGCAAAGCACTTCTAGGTAGTGCACTTTGTAGCACCATGAGTCTATTTTCTCTGTTGCTCATCTCAAGGCAGGAAGTACCGCGAAATCCAATAGAGGGAGGAGCAGAATGAGCCGTTAAAAACGCATATAAAGTAACAGCTAGTGCTCGGTACACATGCAAGGGATCCGACGACGTCGCTTACCAATTAGGTCATGTGAATAATCCATGGACCATTGATCACGGGCTAATATAAGCTATTCCACCTGTCCAGCTGTATAGCTCAAATTATACGTTCGTTACCGACGATTTGGATCCACAGCTTTTTTTTTCTACCGATGAAATTTTTGGAGACTTGACTAATCTACAGCTCTCTTTACCTTCCACTGCCAACTCAGGTCAAGACTGTTCGTTGTACTACCTGTTGAGGATTCTTTATGTGGAATTCCACCATTTTAGTTCGAAAAAGTGGGGGGAAAGCCTTTCGATTATACTATCGGAACACATCACATTTTCAGGACCTATAAAAAAATTGAGAAAGCATCACAGGTATACTTGGCGCGATCAATGCTCTCGTGATGTGCCGGCATTCCACTCCTTACGCACAATCCAGCGGATGATTAGTTCCGCTGGGAGCCGGTCGTTCGGCGCGGCCGGATTGCCATTGGGGCGCATCGGCTGTAATTGCCACCCACCACCCTGCCGATGCGACGCGTTTCGTGGGTCGGACAACTCGTCCACGTTTATTAATGTCTTGGTTGACGTCTTGATCCACCTACGTTGGCAGTGCGCCAACATAGACGACCGATTGCGTGCGAATCTCCTACTCAACCATTTTCGTCCGTTTTTGAACGATTTTTTGCCCTCTTTCGCCTCGACATCCCTTACTTATAGCTACTTAGAAGTGGTTATATCGGGAGCACTTTTGAGTTCTGATATATCTTACTTCGAAGCAGCTTTCAGTAGACAATGAATGGTACTTCGAGTGGTAACTTCGGAGTTTTTTAGTGGACATAAATTTGTGAAACAAACTATTGCTGTCTACACTTCAGTCTACCCTTCACTGTTTCACCCAGCCGGCCAAAATTTTTTGTCACCAGTGAATTTGGCTACAGCTCTATCCCCAAAATGACGTGGCAAGGGTTAAAATAAACCTTTTTAAAAGTTTCCAAAAAATTGTGCCAACCTCAGCGATTTTTTGAAGAACTTCACCACTGTGAAGCTAGCTAATGTCGGATGGTAGGTTGCATTTCTCGTTTAAATTTTCGGAGCGAAACGATTGTTGAGTCAGACAGCAACTTCCTTTTACACTTACATATTTGCGAGGAACTGGCATTCTGACCTTTTCAAAGGATGATGTCTCCTCATTTATTACTGCCACAGGGGAGTACTGAAGGTGCGACTCTGCCGTTACTCATTT